AAACAATTCTTAACTATGTAGTGCTAAATAAGATTTAGTTATCAACTAACTAAGAATTGAGAACAATGCTACAAAAGGAATTTAAATAATTGGCATTGTGTTTATGCTTTGTTGAATTCTTAGTTAGTTGATAACTAAATCTTATTTAACAATACATATTAAGAATTGTTTCATGCTTATGTGACGTGCACTCTATCTCAGCGTCGATCTGCGGATAGGTTATTATACAACACACGTGTAACATGACAAGGCATGACACTGCATAATTTCTGACATTGACACTGCACCGGTTGCGGTTCCAGAAAGTCTGACACAGACAATTGACACAGCATTGCAAAAGCTAATTTTAATTTAAAATYTATAGTTTGCCTTTATAATTTTTTGAAATTACGTACGAATTTTGCGCGATACATTTTCATGTAATATGCAAATTTACTTCGACGTGCTACAAGTTGCTACGAAACACGTGAATTTGCGTGAACTCCTCTCTCATCTGATTGGTTAACTAGTCTCGACACGGGTTGCTGAACCGAGGGCAGGCGATTTTAAAGATGGCGGACGTTATGCGGGTGAAGTGAGCTCAAGTCGATTTTCATTCACCTTGCYAGGGTTTAGCGAAGTTGGTCTTTGAAATCCAACATGGAGGATGATGAATACGAGAATCTGCCAACTGAGCGAATGTCAGTCCATCTTGTGGCCGGTGGTATGGCGGGAATGATGGAACATTGTGTGATGTACCCAATCGATTGTGTCAAGGTAYGAAAATTTACTCTTAAATTGACATAGAATTAGATTTGCTCAGTGTATTTTAGCTACTTGACTTCTTTTAAACTTAAGGACCCTTATTTTGGCTTTAAAAACGATATTCTGAATGTTAAGCGACCATTTTCAATCTACACTCGTGTTTACTACAAGCTAACTTCCTCAGCTGTATTAAACGCGTGACAATCGCCTATTTCGTAGAGGAAATTTGTTTAAATTKAGCTTACATGATACTTGTACATATATATACGTTTTCTATCTAAAGAATCTTCTTAGCTTTACATTTGAAGAGTAGATCTAGATGGACATTTTATTTCCATAGAGGAGCCCACATGATTGCGTAATGTCTATTGAAGTTTATGCTCGTAATGATTAGTGCTTAAACCTGAGTCCTCTTAAACAAAGATCCTAGTACAATATTGAACATAAAGTAGTCCTTTATGTTTTATTGCGAAATCTTAGCTGTCAACGGAAAGTGATATTCATTTTTCCCCAAAAGTGGTCGCACACTTCGTAACTCTCAGGTCCACTGCTGTTATACACGTGAAAAGGAAAACGTGCCAAGAACTGGACGATCTCGAATCCACTTTTGCTCCTTTACTAATCCTGACAATTTAGAACTKAAATAGATAGTTATTTYTATATGTACTTTTCCCGAGAATTCMAAWAATATTCCATTACAATGTTTTTATTTAAACATTAAAATTAATAGCTATAGTTTAATTGATAAACTTAAGTTAATGATGTGCTCAATTCTTTAGTAGTGGATGATTCACATCAACTAGTACTAGGACAGTTGTTTACTTTACTGAATAAACAAAGGTCATGATATACATCAATTTCAATTTCTGTTGKGATCTGTAAATCATGGATGCTGCATATAATTCAAAAGCATTTTGAGCAAATGAAACTTTCTAAGTACAGTTGTAAGAAAAGCTTAGTAAACTATCCACTARATAATTCTTAAACAGTGATTAGAATTGGTACAAAAGCTGCATTATAAGTACAAGTTAGTATCCACCCTTATAACCAAGCGCGTAAGCCACTCGACCATGGCAGCTTGCTACAATGCAATGATCTGCAGTGGCAGAGAGGTATATATAATTAGTTTTTGAACTTGCCGCATAGTAATTAAATTGATTACATCAATTTTATTTGTGTAGTCTTAAATTATAAACTAATCAATGGAAGTTAAGTTGTGYATATAGTCAGTAGTCAAGTAGTAAGTAGTCAAGTATATAGGAACATGATAAAAGGTTGTCGTTGACCAGACTTGGCATACAACCAATCCAAACAGGTTTCTCAGGTAAACTCAATGACCTGGAAAATTAGTGAATGGAAGAACTGACACACARTGTGTGACAAAAAATTTCCAAATACAGTAATGGGAATTTAATCATGCATGCATGTGATGTTGACTTTTGCATCTCACATTGTTTTTCATCATGGCAGGGAATATAACGTCCAATGCTTGTCTTCAAGTTCTTAAAAAAGATAATAAAAGCCAAAACAAACTGGCACTATTCTAGAAGGTGTTGTTATTTTGTGAAACGCAGTCAACAACAACCTTTTGTCAATCGACTATATAATAAATTCAACAGTGTACTATACAACTCCAGCCAAATATTCTTGTTATATTAGATTTTTTTTGTTTGACCATTGTTCAAACAATCACGAGCACTATACAGCAAAATGTTGAAAACTATAACATCATGAAATTCAACACACCTTCAATATTTCAAAATAATTTTTAATGTTACTTGCAACTATCCCTCTCAAATTTTCACAACTGCTGTTCATGGAATACCATTTTAATTAAAAATAAAATTGTCAGATTTTACCCATAATTAGATTTAGTTGATATCAGTTCCTTGTGTTAGTCAAGCAACCACCTTTATTGATAAGCTTAACAAAGCAGTTTTATGTAACACAAATACTTGCTCTTCTAGTTTCAACAGTAAAAGCTCTAAGTATCCAAACAACCACACCTTTAATACAGACTTTGTTTGCATAATAAATATAATTTTCATTATAATCTAACTCAAGTTGCTGGATACCTACAGATCTTTAGCCTCATTTTAGAATTCTGAATTACAAAATCATAGTGCATTGTGGTCTAGATTCAGTACAAACAACACCATATTTGGCAAAATGAACAAAAGATGTTTGTACTGAATCAAGACCACAATGCAATGCAAGCATCTATCTCAGAAAAGGCCTACACATGCAAATGTTTCATGCAAATCTGGAAAGGTCTAATTGCACATTGAATTAAGTGTGATTCTACCATGAACTCATTTATAAATTACTTTACTGMTTAAGGCTGTTAGGAATACAAGTTTTCAGGGCGATAAAAATGATAACAAATGTACATTGTACTATTTTTAAAATGAAATGGCTGTATAGAACCCCTGCAGCTCATGGGAATGCAGCTCCACCTGGAAGACAAARCAATGGATTCTAGTTCCCAAGAGGGCTAAAATCGTCTGTTTTGTATCCTTCCGATGAATCTGCTTTGAGGTCACATGCAAGGGGTCTATAGGTTAACAGTCATATAGGTTGAAGAAAAGACAAAAGACTCAAAGTCTTTTCACACCTTGATGTCTGGTCTGGCTTAATGTTAATCTTTGTTGATAGAATACATCAAAACTAGATACTTATTAAATGTTTGGTCATTTTCTTAATTTGTTGTAAATGTCATGGTACTATAAGTTTTTTTATTGCAGCATTACTGAAGATAAAAGCCTCAGAGGCATTCAATTAGATCATTGGCATTGACATGCAATTATGAAATTTAATTAGGAAAATCAAAGAAATCACATTAAGGGGATTATAAATTGTGTATACTGTACAAACTAACCTAACTTGCATTAATTAACTTCAGCTTTATTTTTTTTTGCAGCAATATTAGGTATAGTTTAAAACACGAGAGAGTTGTTGGCTGTTTACTGATATCGGTTGACATCCTGCATTGGTCAGTGATCAGGTATACAACCTGAGACCTTTGCTAGGGTCATGGACGTTTATATCTGATAAAGGTCACCTTTATTATTCTTTATATAAAGAATACTAATAAGGAGTGTTTTATCAGATATAAAGGTCCATGCATGTGACCAAATAGGCTGATTCTATTGGCCTAATAACTCATTAATTATGTATGAGTTTTTAAATCAAATTTAAAAGGGCTTAGCTGTAGTGTTCTTTTTTAGCTATCACATCTGGGGCCAATTGTATGAAAAGTGTTCACAGTGTTACCCACTGAATAAATCCATATTATACAAAATCTATGCAGTCCTCCTATGRTACAACAGAACCCAATTTCTAAAGTTATATTGATAAGAATGTGATTTTCAAGTTATGGCATCATATACACTATCTGTTTCAACGTGTGATAATCAGATATCTAAAGGTCTATTGTGTCATAATTCTATGAAAGGTCACTAAATAAACAAAAAGAGCAGCATTAGAAGTGATTGTTGCTCTGCAATATAATAAATATACTTTTGTATATGTTTGCACAATTTAACATTTTTCATGTCATGTCCAGACACAAAAATAATAATGTAAGCTGCTTATTATATTTCCAGGAAGTATTATTGTTGGTTTTAAATTAATCAGATTAAAAAGACAAACAATTGATAGTCATGTTAAAAGTTTTAACCATAGACAGTAATCACAAATTTCTTGTGATGAAATTATATTACCAAATTGAATGGCTGCCATAACATCAACTGATAGCCAGGAGTTTGAAATATAATATAGCTCATACATGTTACTGCTGTATCAAGTTTTTWAAATGTTTAAATAGAGGATTATAACATGGGAGCACCAAGATACAGATTTTATCTTCATGAAGATAAAATTTGCATCTCCAAGGGACTATGTAATATTCTGTTTATCATATAATTATCAATGAAAGCAAATAATGCAAAATATACTTTTCTTTACCTYCAATACATGATACTTTACATAATAGAGAAATATACTAAAGTATTTTATAGATAATTATATGAAACATTTTAATTACATCTTAATTCATTCTCCTGTAGACTCGTATGCAGAGTTTAAAGCCAAACCCAAATGCCACCTACAAGAACATTATCCATGCCATGAGATGTATGATCAAAGGAGAAGGAATCCTGGCACCTTTGCGTGGTATCAACATTGTTGCTTTAGGAGCCGGACCAGCCCATGCCTTGTATTTCAGCTCCTATGAGTATGTTAAAAAGATGCTCAATGGAAATAACCAAAAATACAATGCGCTGTCATATGGTAGGTGTACACTCTTTTGTGTTGTAACRTGTAAAGTATTACAGGCCTTTTGGAATACCTGTGGCTTTTGGGCTAACTGTAGTACATATTAATAGGGGTCCTAAACTGTTGCAGCATTGAAAACAGACAAAAAATATAATGAAAGAATATAAAAGAACAGAAAACCCATGAATTAAATGTTTCAGAAATGTTTATGGATTTCTGTTGTATAAATAGATGCACACATAATATGGTTATTAATTTTTTTTGCCTATTTTTTCCTTGGCTGGTTTCTGCCTATTGTTTTGCAGGTATTGCAGGAACCTTTGCAACTGTCTTTCACGATGGAGCTATGAATCCCATAGAGGGTAGGTCAATAATCACTTGCTTTATACATTATCCCACATAATACAACTAGGAAATGCAAAGATGTCTCAAATAACACAGTCGTACAGTACAGACTTGCAAAMTGCAGTGATGTAACATWGTGGTTTGAGCCATTTGTGGCATTAGCCACAAAAAAGTTAAATTTAACCAAGTTTTATTTGTTTTCATGTTGATAAAGTGATCAAGCAACGACTGCAGATGTATGGCAGCCCATACCGAGGAGCAATCCACTGTGCAAGCACAATTCTGAGAACAGAAGGACTTAGAGCATTTTACCGGAGCTACACCACACAATTATCTATGAACATTCCATTCCAGACATTACAYTTCATGGTGTATGAATTTGCACGAGAAAAGTTAAATCCATCAAGGTCWTATGACCCAAAGACTCATGTAATTGCTGGTGGAACGGCAGGTGCAGTTGCTGCYGCAATAACAACACCACTTGATGTTGCAAAGACTTTGTTAAACACCCAGGAAAGCAATGTTGTTGCTCTTGTTGGTAAATCACGAGGACATGTTCTMTATGTGAGTGGGATGCTCAATGCATTCAGAACTATTTATCGAATGCGTGGGATTTCTGGCTATTTTCAAGGACTTCAGGCCAGAGTAATTTACCAAATGCCATCGTGTGCAATATGCTGGTCTGTCTATGAGTTTTTCAAATATTTCCTGCACTTAAACCATGCTGATGGAGAATATCATGAAATTTCAGCGACACAAGGAGAACTATAGTTCTTAAAATAAACAGTATTTATAGAGAATAATTTTGATAGAAACCTKGAACCAATTCATTTATACTTCATATGAAACATGACGATTTTTTAAACTTTGTGTTACGTGAAACACACTCCAGACACTTTTAGCAAAATTCTGATGGGTAGAAGATTATTATAGAAACTAAGTTTTTAGTCCTGAACACTAAGAATAGATCATTTAATGGGAATAAGATATTGAAAAGGAAATATTCTTTATTTAGAAAATAAAAATAATTCCTCAAAATTTGTGTTGATTGAAATAGTTTATCACGTATTTAAGATTAACGACGCATCGATGAAGTGACGAAGAAAAATCTCTTTTGCCAATGGGTTGTTTTTCACATGGCGTCACAATGACCATCAAACATTTTCATATAAGTTGGTAAAGAAAAAACGCATGAAAACAGAAATGGATGGAAATAAGTAGTAGTACTCACATGGAAGAATTTTCATATCGAAAATACAATAAAACACAAAGGGTTTTATACTAATTTGCCATTTAGAAATATAGTTTATAATTATGCACTCTCCGCAAGTCATTAAGTTGTTGCCAAGTCCTGGGTAACCCGTGTGGAAAGAGACGTTTTCCGACAAATGTGAAAGAGAAATGACTGGTTTTAAGTGTAATACAATAMGTTTGCCATCGAAATAAAATAAGTTCTAGGGAATACGGAGAGATACGAATGTTAGCCGTTAAGTATTAATGTCCATATATGAAAAGGAAAAAAATGCAAATTAAAACTCAAAATAATCAGCTGTATTGACGAGTCGATATAGAAAATATTGATTTTACTAAAGCAATTAGGCCTTAAATTCATGCTTATTAATATGTACACGGGATACTTTGAGACGTTCGCAGGAGTKTGATATTAATAGCAACAAAAATATATACCAAAAATGTGCTTAAGTGAAAGGACACCAATTAGTTCTTTTAAYTATTCGGGAAGCCCACCCATTTTAGCAACATGAAAGTGAAAATGCATAAAAAATGGCTAAATTCAAACAAAAAGCGGCGTTCACCTTTTATAAACAAATACAATTAMCGAAAACTTGGTTATTAGAAAATATAATTAGTGGTGAGAATATGCATGTATTATGTAAGGACTTGTAAAAGATAAGTTTCAAAACTATATAAGTAGATAGTTTAACGCGATCGGGAAGAAAAATTGATATAGGACAATGTGATATAACTGTATACAGTAAAAAATCGTAATGTTACATCATAGGCCAATCTTTTACCTGAGATAAATATGCTAAAACACCTGTTTGACTTATTTAATTTCATTGAATAACAGCCCTTTTGTTGGCATCCATCAGTCGTAATGAATTGATGCACTGAATTGCGTGTTATCAAGTCAAGTTTTGATGTTCTGGTTCTCAAGAAAGTCATGGCTGCTGTAGTCCCGTCAGCTATCTTCCTGACTATAATAGTCAAGGTAATTCCTCTATGTTTTTTCATGTAGTTGAGTATATATTTATACTAAATTTTGTCAAAAAGCAGAACTCATGTTTTGAGGGAGCTTTCAATTTTTTTACTGCAGTAAGTAAACACAATTTCGAGCTTTATTACACACGGAAGTACATGCTACATTCATGGACTTTCATGGCAATTCGAGTCTCATTCTGAAGACTTGATACATACATAGCAAGACATCTTTTCGTGTTTTAGGTTGGAATACAACTTATTGAGGTACCTTGAATTGCTTTCAGCGGGGGCCAAATGAATTGGCAATTGAGAATAGTGTAATAACAACTCTTAAAACCGCCACTTGAACCTTTCAAAAATCACACACATGCGAGAACTCAATAGCCAATTAACGCTTTCGCCCCGTGTAAGAGAATCCGGAATCCGGAATCCACTAAAGAAACAGCTTTGGAATCCGGAATCCCTATCCTGGAATCCGGAATCCAAATATTTGGAATCCATAATCTGGAATCCAGCAAAAATTTTGATATCTAAAAAACACATAGGACATCGTCCCGCTGACGCNAAGACATCTTTTCGTGTTTTAGGTTGGAATACAACTTATTGAGGTACCTTGAATTGCTTTCAGCGGGGGCCAAATGAATTGGCAATTGAGAATAGTGTAATAACAACTCTTAAAACCGCCACTTGAACCTTTCAAAAATCACACACATGCGAGAACTCAATAGCCAATTAACGCTTTTCATTATTATATACAACTAATGCTTTGTAATATTTCAAGCTTATACCATCATGGTAGATCCCAAGGGGTCCGTCACGCTGGCTACAGTGTTAGAAAATTGAAATTGTAAATAACTTCATGCGCTTCTGTTAATAGTACTAATAGACATTTTCTGAAACATTTTAAATAACTGATCTGAATTATATAATGTTACTAAATAGTCGCTATGATTTCAATCTAGGTTAGTAGGTACTTTAGTCTTTGATAAGGTCTTTTAACGCCTGATTAATCCAAAGAAAACTGTCAATCTATTGAGTAGTTGAGAATTCTCTTGAACAAGATACCAAAACATGATGTAAGACCAAGTGTTTTGGAGCTAGAGTATTTTGGAATTATTTCAAAGGCGGGCATGATATAAAAATATAATGTTTGTAAATATGAAGGATGATTGCCAACTAGTGTTAAGTAAATAWGTTCAATATTACATTATTTCTTTATTGTTTCGTGTGTATTCCATATGAATGAGATTCCCGGCGCGCCACATTGGAGCCGATCGAGTCTAATGGATTCTGTGGATTCCGGACACGATCCCACCAAAGAAAAGTAGCATTAGAGAACCTTTATGCGATAAAATGGCTATGACTCATAGTTTTAAGTTACCTATTTTCAAATAATATGATTTTTTTCCTTTTCTAGGTTTTACTTCGGCCATCCTTTGGAGAAAGTAAGCAAACTCTCTCTAATCCCTCTGATAAAGTCATAATTGATTGCAGCTCATGTACTCTTTGTTCTTTATAAGGACAACTCCGGGCCAGAATTAAAATTGCCTTAAGTCGCCGCAACTACTTAAAGCAACTTATGACGACTTTTAAGAACAAATGAGGTAAATAGACGACTTTAGATATTTTGGTTCAGTGACCATGCACAAAAGAATTGCAGACGAGGCTCCGGGGAAATAAAAGAATAAATCAAGATTATCCATTGTTTCCCCGGAGCCTCGTGTGCGTTCTTTTGTACATAGTCATCGAACCAAAATATCTAAAGTCGGCTATTGGGTTGGGGCACTGTAAAAGGCGTCTTAATGCGGCGAATTGGCGAAATAGGGCGTTTTAAGGCAATTTTCTGGCTCGGAGAAGGCTTATCAATTTTTAATCTGAACTGTTATACGTTATTTCATGTTATTTTACATCAGAATTCCCCGAGCCCGTGTTATTTCTTCCTCTCAATAAACAATACGGTACACGAGACATCAGTAAGAGCAATCTACCTWCGACGGCTGCTGGCGTAACCTTGTCTCCTGGACGAGATGGTAAACCAGGCGGGTCATACTACTTCCCAGGAAGCGATATCAGTTTTATTGAGGTTCCTAAAGACCCGAAAACTGACACCAGGTAAAGCATCATGGGAGTGATCATGATGGTGTTTATTATACCAACTTCACTATTAATAYACATATTCTTGACAAAATTTGAAAATTTGTTTCCTTTTTCACTTGGCTCAGGTATTCGATGACAATCACTCTGTGGATCAATATTCAGAGCGGATCTGGAGAGGGTCCAATCCTCCATTATGACACAGAGAGTGCGGCGTACGCATTTCACCTTTACTCTCTAACAGGTATGTGCATGCTGATCATCGTAATTKTTCCCGTAACTAAGGCTACTTTTGAATTGAGCGAGAGAAGGAAGGCGTAAAAAGAGGCAGAAAYAAACTTATGATGCGAATAAATAGTGWTCTTGCGCGTGAGAGTGAAMACCAGCGAACGAAGAAACATTTTTGGTAATAGTGAATAGTATTTCAATGCTTAAATTCACCAACCAGGTTTAAACTTACTGTAGTTGTTACTTTATCATAATAATTGTCTTTTATTCTATTTAATAATTGTCAATTATGCAGACGGAAATGTTCACATTCGGCATATGAACAGACTAGATGGCTCATCTCTCCAATATATGCGAACAACAACGTTAAAACTAGACACTTGGGCGTTCTTCGCCAGTACATACGACAATAACACGGGTATACAAAAGCTATACGTGAACGGTRCAGAGATCGAAAAGTTGGCTATTGGCAAGTCGGAACGTAAAACACACTACAAGGTAATGTACTTCTTCGTTGATATTCTAAATTTCCCTCCCAGTTTGCACTTTTAGAATGAAGCAATAACTGGATAACTGGATTACCTTATTTTAAAGCATGGAACCGCATGTATTAATTGCAACATAAACTAAATAAAYCCGAATTAATTGCTTTTACGCCCAAATCTCCTGTAACTAACAGAGGGATAGCCATCTTTAGTACTACTATTGAAAATAGACCCCGAGTAGTAGTGTAGCCAATCAGAATGTAGGATTTCACCCAGGAGTTCTAATTGTTAAATAGACTGGACATCAGTCATGATATCGGGCATGCATATTATACGTTCAACCATCTTTTATTCGAGCACATCATTCCCTATCAAAGCCATTAGATAAAGCAGCATTACTGAAAGTGCAGTATGGAGACAAACGCAGGAGGAGCCGACGGGGTCTGTTCTTTTAAATAACTGTTCTTGCACGAATGTTTGACCTACATTGTTGACAATGTAGCAAATGTACCACCCTTCCTTCTTTGAAATAATTTTGTTCCTGGCAAACGTTTTTGTGGTCAAAAACGGCTTATATTTTTTTAGTTACGAAATTTGTATTTTCCTGGCAAAAATTCGTACAAAGTATTTCTTGCCTGGAGAGTTCTTTTTTCCTGAATTTCTCGCTGGCAACCTGTTGTGACTTACAGCTGGCTGGGACATAAGAACAGATATATTTCTCCCAGGAACCCGTCGGCTCTTCCTATAGCTAACGTGTGAAGAAAATCAGCCAGTGAAACTGAGATTAAGGTGGTCGAGGAATTAGTTGCAATCGCTTACATCTTTGCCCTTTATCGGCACTAAGAATGGTCAAGTATTTTATACCTCTAATCTTTCTAATTCAAAAGATCAAAATAGGAGGCCGGAAAAACACAGATAACAGACCKCTGTTTAAAGGAAAGATTTCATGTCTTCAAATATACAACAAAGCCTTGAGTGCAGATCAAATTTGGACAGCGAAAAAATTCTGCGATAGAACTGGTAAGATTTTTTTGGTAATCATTTCGAACGACAATTACATAAATGTATCTTTTTCTCTCTCTCTCTTGTTAAGAATATCCCGAGCCCGTGTTATTTCTACCTCTCAACAAACAATACGGTACACGAGACATCAGTAAGAGTAAACTAAATACGACGGCTGTTGGTATTACATTGTCTCCTGGACCAGATGGCAAACCAAACGGGTCGTACTACTTTCCAGCTAACGAAAACAGTTATATTGACGTGCCAAAAGACGCAAAGACAGATACCAGGTARAGTATGATGGCAAATTGTTGCTGCTTTTTAGTTTCCAATTTGAAAAATATAGATGGCAATTTCTTTTAAATCGCATCAGTRACTGATGAAAGCAGAGAGCCATATTATTGAAGCGCGTGTAAGATCTTCGAAAAATGGCAATAAACACATCACTTGGCCTGCAATTATTACCACGGATAACTTCTTACAAAATTGCAACGTGCATCTTAGAAGATTGTGCATTACAAAAAATAGCACTGTTTGATTCTATMCAACATTCAGGGACATTGTGAAGTTTTAAGAATGTATGAAAAAGCGATACACTCTAGTTCTAAGCATGGAAGATCATGGCCGACAAAATGGTATTTGTGCTATAGGTGGATGATTGGCACTCAATACCAGGAGCGCAACTGAGAAATGCGGGAATGATAAAAATCAAGACCTGACCATATTTTTTATAAAAAAAGATATATTTTTTACTTTGAACAGGTTTTCGATGACAATCATTCTGTGGATCTACATTAAGACCGGGTCCGGAGAGGGTCCAATCCTCCATTATGACACAGGGAGTTCGGCGTTCGGATTCCACCTTTACGCCCTTTCGAGTATGTGCATGCTAATCATCATCGTATTTGTTCCCGTAATTAATGCTGCTATTGAAGTGAGCGATAAAAGGTAGACATAGAAAGAGAGGTAAAAAATGAAGAGAGATAAAAAAGTGATTTTGAGTCAAAACAAGCGAACGAAGAAAACTGGCAATGTTTGATAATTGAAAAAAAAAAACAAAAAACATTTCAATGCTCAAAATTCACCAACCGGGTTTATATTTGCTATAACTGTTAAATCATCCAAATTGTCTTTATTATGCAGATGGAAATGTTCACATTCGGCATATGAGAAGAGATGGTTCCCATTTCCCGGAAATGCGGACAAAAACGTTAAAACTAGACACTTGGGCGTTCTTTGCCAGTACATACGACTATAACACGGGTATACAAAAGCTATACGTGAACGGTGTAGAGATCGAGAAGAAGGTTATTGGCAAGTCGGAACTTAATACAAACTACAAGGTAATGATGTATTTTTACGTTSATATTTTCAATTTCGTATAAGTTTGCACTTTTAGAAGTCACCTGACTTGTTCACTTCACTTTCAACCATTGGACCGTGATTGCTGCCACGATTAATTCCTACATCAACCCAGCGATCCACCATCTATAGATTTAACATTAGTGATAATACATTAAACGCCATCATACGTCYCTGATAAAGCAGTCTGAAAGAAGAGGATACAAAAATATGTGAAAATCTAGAACCGAAGCCGGAATCAAAGTGGTTAAGGAAGCAAAAAAAGGGAAAGGAAACCCTTCCTCTTCCTTCATCACTATCATCTCGACCCCCTCTCAGCACTAACATTGATCAAGTATTTTACCTCTAAACTTCAAAAGATCAAAATAGGAGGCTTGAAAACTGCTTATAACAGAGCGATGTTTAAAGGAAAGATTTCATGTCTTCAAATATACAACAAAGCCTTGAGTGCAGATCAAATTTGGACAGCGAAAAAATTCTGCGATAGAACTGGTAAGATTTTTTTGGTAATCATTTCGAACGACAATTACATAAATGTATCTTTTTCTCTCTCTCTCTTGTTAAGAATATCCCGAGCCCGTGTTATTTCTACCTCTCAATAAAAGATACGGCACACAAGACATCAGTAAGGGCAGTCTACCTACGACGGCTGTTGGTGTTACTTTGTCTCCAGGACCAGATGGTAAACCAGATGGGTCATATTACTTTCCAGGAAGCCCATCCAGTTACATTGACGTACCAAAAGATCCGAAAACAGACACAAGGTAGTAATAGGGTATYTTCATTCATAATAGGAAATAAGTAATTTCTAACTTTCTGTTTGAGTTATGCGTTAGTGTGATGTGCACATCATGCATGAGCACAACGATGAGAATTTACTCAGGCGGTTACGATCAATTTTCACAATCCTATATTGAATAAATCTATTTCTGTTTTCTCTGGTGTGCATTTCTATTGYCCACAGAAAAACGTACAWAGGATGTTTTAACTTACATGAGCGGATTTATGTAAGAAARCAAACTGAGCACATCTTCATTCGATAATTTTCATTTAATAACATCGACTTGGAATGCACTGTTTGAAATAGTCAGTGCCGTGCARTGCTAAATTAACTCACCTTTGTGTTTGGTAAGGTATTCTATAACTGTAAGCGCGTGGATCTATATCCAAGGGGTTGAAGGTCCGATCTTACACTACGACACAGCAGAAGGTGCTTATGGAGTTCATATTTACATAACAGGTGAGTACCAATCATTCATTAGACATGTCTTTCATGACTTTTGTTCAAAACATGACTGCTGCAGACCTACCTTGATGGGTACTTACAAAATTTTCAGAGTTCATATAATCATGAACTAAAACGCWCTATGAAAATTAGCCAGCAATTTATGTTTGGTGAAACCTCTCGAATTTATGGATACCTATTGTATAATTATTTATGGAAATGTTTCATCATGGCTCTGTAACAGTAGTGATTTTTTTTCCTTTTTATAATCGAGTTTGTCCATCTACATGCAATCCCTGAAACCTTTGCATATAGTGTAACAAAATTAAAGTATATATACTTTATCTCGGCGATAGGTGTTTCAGACATATTTGGTCGTGTGGCAAAAAGGAATCTGTTTAATTGGGCTTACTTGCACGAAACATTGTCACCAACAAACAACAGTTGGAGGTACTTTGCCTATACATACAACTACAACACAGGGATCCAAAAGCTCTTTGTTGACGGAGTTGAAGYAAAGAKTGAAAATGTTGGCAAGTCTGAGATAGCTACGCAATATAAGGTAAATCATTCAACGATGAGTATATACCATATTACTTGAACTACTAGGAGAAGAGAGAGGATTAAGCCTTACTCAGGGTGGTGGCTGACGATGTGTACTTACAACTTAGTACTATAAGTTTGCTTACGATTACATAGGGGGAATATGATTTTCTCTTGAGTGAAAAGAATTTCCTACTTGAGCTACTGAGACAAAAGAGATCATAATTGGAGTAGTGACCTTCAAAAACAGGACCAGAAAAACTGATATATACACCATAGCTCAAAAGACATTCTCTTGTTTTCAATAAATCAAATTAAACACTCATCCTAACAGATCAAAATAGGAGGACAAAAGTATGGAGACATTCACCGTCTTTTCAAGGGAAGAATTTCATGTGTCCAAATATACGATCAAGCTTTGGACAGAGACCAGATTCTGCAAGCGAAAACATACTGCAACAGAAATGGTGAGAATGCTTGGTTCTTTCATCCACATCACTTCCTGCCGTTTGTCTGGGGGGGGGGGGACAAGCCCTTTCACTTTAAGAACTAGGATCAGTTGTTGTCTCCCAGCCAAAGCTGCATTGATGACGATTAATATTCTGCATCATCAAACGAGATCGGTCGTAAACACCTGGAGAGCACTATTTTCTTTGAACTGATTAATCGATAATCTAAAAGATTTCATGTWAATTTATCACAATTAAGCCGTTACCACATTTATTCATTCTCCTCAAACAGATCTCTACCAGTCGTGTTTTCATTATGAAACTATAAACGATCCCTCAAGATCATTAGGAAACAGCCTCGGCAACCAGCAACCTTCTGACAAAAGATCGCTCAGTCGTACTCACTGGTATCGACTGACGGGAAAAAGAATCAGTTCAACTTGCCCCAAATCAGATTCTTGTGGAACCCAGACTCCTGGATGGGTGAACGACACATACCCGAGGCGGGAAGATGGGATCAAAAAGATGGATCTGTGYTATCGTACTGCAGGCTCAAACTGCTGTGCGTCGAAAGTCATCGTKTTCGTAAGACAGTGCTATGGATATTACGTGTTCAAGTTTGATGAACTACCAGATCATGGACGTTTCTGCACTGAAAAAGGTTATTTCTAAATACTAAATTGGTCTCAGGTTTTTCCGACCTATAAGTTCTGAACCTTTGTTGATCTTTCTCGACAGATACTAAAACGTTCAGTAACGTGATGTTCATGTCCACCTATGAGCGATGCCTGACAGGTCACGTGTTTTATAATGAGAGTGATGTCACAGATGCCTCAAGATGCATTGGTTATTGCCTGACTGCTGGAGACAACTGCAAGTCTGTAAATTTCATCAATGAAGAGAGTGGAAAATGTCAGCTTAATAATGCAGTTAAAGCAGAAGGACAACTGAATATGGACAGCAAGTGCAGTTACTACGAAATGATTTGACTCTCCATGTAAAAAAAGTGAATTTGATTCTGATTCTTTTGATTTACTTAATCATGCACCAGTTGCTCTTCTGTATTCTAGCATTGCTCATGTCGCCACTGCTTCTTTTCTTGCACTATTTTAGCTCTCTTTTATATCCATTTCCAGTGCTCATGACTCACTTGCTTTTAGTCATATTGCTCTTGCTCTTTCCATGCTCTWGGCTTCCCACAATGTTGCTTTATTTCTTGTTTTTCTTCCCTTGTTGTTCCTGATCAATCTTGTTTTTATTCTTYGCGTCTTTAATTTTTCTTTCATTTGCCCTTACCTAAGCTCTGAGGAACTAACCAGAAAGAATCTTGAAGTTATTGTATGATTTATTGTATGCGTGGGGCTCCTTTTTAATTACTTCAAGCAAGATCAATTTCCTTTGCGCTTCTTCAAGTGTTCCTCAGACGCACCTCATGCAATTATGAAAAKTATTGTGACAACCAAAGGAGAGYTATGGACAGTACAAATATTGACAAGCAGAATTTTGATAGAAATTAGAACAAAACTTATTTGTACTTTARAAATCTAATCAATGTATGTAATGGAAAATTATGCCCTGGTTTTGAAATAAATTGATATAGTTACTTCCCAGTTACTTTATGAAAACGGATACTACACTTTATCAAGAATTCTGGCAAAATGTTATGAATTTGAGTTATTGCCTTTTTAGTGCAYACTTATTACAGGGCTGTAGYAGGCTTCRACTTTTGTCGTGATTTTGACATTGATCATATAAGGGAACTTCGAATTTTTCGAGYTTTTAACAGTTCAAAACTACATTGCTTTTATTTCTTGSTAATGGTCTTYATTTTCGGCCAGTCATATGAAGCAAWAACATCCACCGGCAAAATCAAAAATTAATTTAGTCCATTTATTTATTTTTATTCTCTTTATTTTTATATATTTAATTTTTTTATTCCTACAAAACCTTGGGGCATGTACTGCTTTTCTACTCTTACGTGACAGAATCTATACAGCAAATTGATCAGTGTTCTTCCAAAATCCRCTAAAAAGTACGCAATAAATGTTCTAAAATCTATGTAAATTCTAATTACACAATATCTTATTTGACGTACTATACAAATTTCCTRATTTAATCCAAATCAAACAATGTCTATATCGCTTAATAAAGAATTTTGACAAGTATGGAAATATTGCATAAAGTAAGTAGCGGGGCGACCCTATCTCCATGTCAACGGGTCCCAAAACACCTGCTCTTCTCTCCTATTCAATATTTCAATGAAGAATAACATAGGATGAAATGCATTTGCGAGTKCTTGAATATAAGACTTAACTACAAAAAAACGTAGTTACCTTATACTGCATTCTTGAGCTTCAATTGTTTTTAAGTTAAAGATGACTGTTCTTCTTAAAACAGGTTTCTTCCTGGCTATAATTAAGGTAATTATTCTGGCTATATGCTGCGTACATGTATATCTAATTATTGAAGAAAAAGCCACACAACTTGATTTCTACTCTTTATTGTACGCTTCGGTAATATATCACTGCATGCCTAACCCCCTAAATGCAATGTTGTCATTGAGCATGTTACCATAATACACAACCATTCCAAAACAAGACCCAACATTGATGAAAGGGGGCTAAAAGGGGAGAACTTTGAAAAAGTAAAGAATAATAATGTTAGGCTGGAGACAAATAATTCTATGGTCCAAAGTTGTTTGGCAACGATCGTGCGTATAGCCAACTATTTCATGTATTCTCATTGTTGTCTTGGCTATACATCTGTAAATGTACGATGCACTAGTGCCACATTTATGTTCTAGTGGTTATAACGTTTAATGGACCAAATTCCATATTACCTTTTCTAAACTTCAAAAGACTGATTTTCAGTCAAGGGTTTATCATGAAATGCCGTCCCGACAATACAATTATAAATTTGAAATATATTTTCATTCGGTCAAGACTAGATAAAGATGAATGTTTCTTTTCGCTAAAAAATCGACATTGTTGGATTTTTAAGTAGAGTAATATTCATGAAAGTCCTGTATTAATATTTTAAAAGATGATTAGTTGTTGTGTTAATAATAATACCATGATTGTGAACCTGRAAGAGTGGGATTTATTATATAATTATCTAGTATAAAACACCTATATTTCTCCATTTCGTAAAGTTGTTATTTTCACTAGAGAAAATAAACAGGGCAATGTTTCCCAGACTACAACTGGGAATAACGCCGCTTAAATGTTAAATTTCGTCGTTTTTTCCGAGGTCGTGTTGATATTCCCGAGGATATCACGGTCACTGGGGTTTCAATTGTCTACTAAATAAACAGAGGATATTAAATCAATGCTTTTTTTTCTCTGGATTTTATTTGTGGCATCATTTCAAGAAAGTAAGTTTACATTTGGTAATGCATCAAAATAACATTATGAATGCTGCTTGTTTCATATATCATCTATGGTTTGCTTACTTTTGAATGAGAATTTTATCGTCTTTTTTGATTGTGAACAATCAATTTTCAGAATTCCCCGAGCCCGTGTTGTTTCTWCCTCTYAATAAACAATACGGYACACGAGACATCAGTAAGAGTAATCTAACTACGACGKCTGTTGGYGTTACYTTGTCTCCTGGACCAGATGGTAAACCGGACGGGTCATACTACTTCGATGGAAACACACCATCTATGTATATTGAAGTACCACAAGACTCGAAGATYGACACAAGGTAAATTGAGTATTGAAAGATGCAATTCGTATAACATTATTACATAAAAATGGTTGAGCAGAATACGTATCTTCTCAAAAGGTTACCCTGGTTTTAGTTGCGGCTGCGAAAGGTCCCGATCATTTAAGTCTTCCAACGTTAACCTTGTTATTTTTTGGTCCGAAACCAAGCAGCAAGCGCCAAGAAACATAKGCTGGAAAGTTTGATTCCATAAATTTACTGTATATCATCAAATTTACAGACAAAATGTTCTTTTACAAATTTTGTTAATTGTTTTACAAGATATTTTTAATGTTTGAACAAGAAGAACAAGATATTTACAGAATCTACATAAAATTTACAAACTCTGAAAACTAATCAACTTTTTCAAGTGATAGGCTGCGCTAAGCCTTGCAACTCGTTATGCAGCCGCCATGGAAATGTCTTTCTWTTTCACTTAGTTCATGAATTTCTCAGGTATTCGATGACGATCAGTTTTTGGGTGTACGTTCAGGGAAGAATTGGTCCAATCTTTCATTACGATACTCAAACTGGAAATTTCGCATTTCATCTTTATTCTGAAGCAGGTATGTAACAAGCCGATGGCCGTAGTAATTTCTATTTTTAGATACTGAAGAGTCTGCCCAATTAGACTTACAGCTGCTTCCTTGCAACATGGCTACATTTGTCAATCGACTGTAGCCATGTTGTAACGATGACTTGARATGAGATGGTTGTAGGCAAAAGTTCTGTCTGTAGAATTGTACACTTACGTGTACAATAAAAACATCTCTTAATTTTATAACATAAAAAAAACATCGCAAATTCATAAATACRTTAACTTAATCTTCCCCCCACCACCACCCCAAATATTTTCCTCAAATAAACTCATAAATACCTATCGTTATATAATTGTGCAGACGGAAACATCTTCGTTCGTCAAGTCAGCAGAGGTGGTTCACATTTCCAAAACATGAGAACAAAGACGTTAAAGCTAAACAGTTGGGGATACTATGCCTATACCTATGATTACAACACTGGTATACAAAAGCAATACGTGAACGGTATGGAGGTGAAGAGTGAAAATATCGGCAAGTCTGAGATCGCTACACAGTACAAGGTATAGCTCGTAGTGATTTTCAAATATGAAGCCTTTGAAATATCTCAAAGCCAGCGTTTTCTTTATAAATATGTTCAGTTATTCTTAGGACATAATTTGCTTTTCATTAAATGATAAACAGAATATTACATGGTCGCTTGGAGATACGAATTTTATCTTCTCGTGTTGAAAATCTCTCACTCGCTACGCTCACTCGTGAGAGATATATCTATGAAAGATAAAATCCGTATCTACGCTCGCTCATGTAATATCCTCTATATGTGTGAAGCTTTTAAAATATCTCAAAGCCAGCCTTTTCTTTATAAATCTGTTCAGTTACTCTTAGAGCAGACTTGAATAAGCGCCATAAAAGCATTCATCATATAGTCATACAGTCAGTACCTAGTCTGACCAATAAAATTGCATGATTCTGTCTTCATTTCCCCAACAGATAACAATAGGAGGGCAGAAAATTGGAGACGCTAGGTTTTTCAAGGGAAGACTTTCGTGCGTCCAGCTATACAATAAAACCTTGAACAGAGATCAGATTCTGGAGGCAAAAAGATACTGCAACAGAAATGGTGAGAAACTGCTTTGTTTAATTAAACATTTCAAAATTCTTAATCCATGAACTAATTAGATGGGATTTATCATAATGACAGAGCAAAAATGGAAGAATAAGAAGGATAAATTTCTAATGCCTCTCATAACCTCATAGTTATCAATCAATAATATAAACAAACAAACTAAAATCAAATTACTTTTCTTTCTTCGTACAGATCTCTACCAGTCTTGTTCTCATTACGAATCCATAAACGATCCCTCAAGATCTTTAGAAAACAAACTCGACAACCAGCGACCTTCTGACAAAAGCGCCATTAGCCGTACCCACTGGTATCGGCTGACGGGAAAAAGAATAAGTTCAACTTGCCCCAAATCAGGTTCTTGTGGAACCCAGACTCCTGGATGGCTAAACGGCGCATATCCGACGCTTGAAGATGGGATCAAAAAGATGGACTTATGTTACCGTAATGCAGGCTCTAATTGCTGTGCGTCGAAAGTCAACGTATTCGTAAGACAGTGCTATGGATATTACGTGTTCAAGTTTGAGGATTTCCCAAACGATGGTCGCTTCTGCACGGAAAGAGGTTATTCCTCTCAGTTTTGTCGATTTTATGAATGGCGCTTATTGACTAGAATTTTACTAAAAGGTATATTCATCTTGCTCAACAGGCGGTAATACGCTCAGTGACGTAATGTTCGTGTCCACCTATGAGCGATGCCTCACAGGTCACGTGTTTCATAATGAGAGTGACGTCACAGATGTTTCAAGATGCATTGGTTYTTGCCTGAGTGCGGGAGACAACTGCAAGTCTGTAAATTTCATYAATGAAGAGAATGGCAAATGTCAGCTTAATAATGCAGTTAACGGAGAAGGACAGCTGAATATGGACAGCAAGTGCACTTACTATGAAATGATTTGAATCCGCGCTATTTATAAAGCAATTGATTCTCCTTTTGAATTCCCACTTACTCCTAAACTTTACTTATCGCTTTTCGGTTGCTTCAATAAATGTTGCTTAGCTCAGACGTCATAATTTCAACATTGATTTTCAATGGAAAAATTCGTGCACTTTAAAAGGGTGTAATGATACAAATGATGTTATTATCCAAAATGATGTAAATTTGATGTACATCAAATTTACATCATTTTGGATAATAACACCATATTTACATCAAATTTAACAACCTTAAAGCGCGCGATTGTTTCAGTGTTTAGGTGCTAAGGGAGACGAAATTATCGGCTGCTTGTGTTAATTGTCCAAAATTTTTGGCAACAATTTTTGTTTCCAAGTTCCTCCCTGCCATCCTTAGTGTTGGATCGTTAGAATTAGATTACGCCTATGTTTATACCACCAAAAAGATGTGGTCATTGCAATATGTAAATACTCTCGTTTGCATTAAGTTCAGATAATACTTGAAATTTACTAAAACAACCTATATAAGAAAATTTATCTCTGATCGAGTAATAAGATTAGAATCAAAGAGATTTTTTTATAAAGATGATCTTCAAGACTATGACATATTATGATCAAATTAAAGATACGACCATTTAAAAAAGTGCCCAAATGAATGGAAATTCGAGGGCCATGGTCCACCAAGATTTATTGCGGCCGTGTTTTTCCCACATGAATCATTTTTTCAATTCGTCGGTTGAAAGGACGAATATTAAAATATTTCCATTCATATCGCAAAGGGATCATAAATAGATTATGATCCGGGCTYTCAAAACAATTTCATAGCTCGCCACATTAATTTTGGCTCTGGAATCGGCGAAACCGAAGCAATAGAGACAAAATCTAATAAAAGAAGAGCCGAGAAATCCGGAATCCAAATTTGTGATTTCAGATGTTTTCTAATTGTAAAATAACCATGGAAGTCCAAAGTAGTGGATTCTAGAATCCTTGCGAAATTTTTTATCCAGAAACGCTCAAGATTCGGATCCAGTGTCATGGGCTGACAAATTGGACGTGAATTTGTACAGTCTAAATTTTTTTATTAGTTTATGACTCTATGCTTTATGTAAAATGGCCCAAAGTTTTAAATTAAATAAAAATGAATCATTACGTTCAGGCATTTGGAGTGAATCATCTTAATTGACACCGAGATWAATATTTAATCACATGGAGCAAGATGAATGAGTGTTGACGTTGTCAAGTGGATTCCTAACAACAACAATAAATTTGTAGATTAATATTTAATAACTTATCAGACACATTGCAATTAAGCTGAATGAGTGTTGACTTTGCCGAGAGGATTCCTAACAACATCAACAAAAACTGAAATAATAATAGCAATAATAAACTGAAACTAGATATACTAAGCGTGAGTATACCACCAAGGGAACTTACCGGAAAGCCTACTTAATACAAATTCGAATGTATTCATTAAAGATGGCTAGTTAAGTGGTATGCACCATTAATTCCTTGGACCATAGTACAAATTGCTTCGAACCCAACAATTTTTCTCCTTCACCTTTCCCAGTTGACCCCCGTAGCCCCCTTTTGTCAAATGCTGGGTATTGTTTTGGATGGTTTTGTACTATGGTAACAYACTCAATGATAACATTGACTTCACGGTGCTAGGGGATGACATTGTTTGTTAGTTGTGCTMAAAATAGGAAAAATTACTTGAATGGTCCAAGCAYTTTGGGAACGACTGTACTGTAGTCAACAGAATAKTTTTAGTAAGTAGCAATGAAATTTCTTCAAAAGTAAATTGCCTTTTCATAGTAAAAGTTGAAGGTTATATCTAGATACTGAAAAACACCTGTTTATAAGTTTGAGTAATGACACTCTCTTAAATTTCATTAAAGCAATTGACTTGGTACACTGAACTGCCAGAATAGATGGACATAAAGATTCAAGTTTGTGCCCTCTTCTTTTGAGCSTCAAGCAATTTACTAAGCATGACTACAATAAGTCAAATAGGMCTCTTCATCACTATAATAAAGGTAATAACTCTATACATTTAGGTTATTCTACGTTTTATATACGTACAATAACCTACATAAATGTATATATCAATTTAGACAAACAGAATCTTTTCTTTAGCAAAATTTGGGAAAAACTACGAGTATCTTAATAATATGAAGACCTACACGCTTTAAACCCAGTTTTTTAAAGCAAATGTTTATTTTAATCACCTTAATTTTCATAGTAAAAAAATTGCGCGTTTGTTGCAGTTTCTAACGTAGCTGGATGTCTGTTACAAAAAATGTTTTAAGTCGTTGAGCGCTGCCATCGATTCTTCTTATACAGATAGAATACAATRCAGAATACAAAATTCTCTTCTTCTCATATCAATGTCAAAAATAGCATATAGACATTGATATAGATTCGTTTATCATCATATACTTCCAGATCAACGAATTTAATTACCTTCCTTAAATMGAGGATATTACATGGGAGCGGATTTCAACACAAGAAGATAAAATTCGTATTTTCAAGCGACCATGTAATATTCGGGTTATAATCATATAATTACAAATGATAGCAACTACCTTTTTTCTTACTTCCACTATATAAAGAAACCTCGAATGTGTTATTTCACTAGTTAAAATAACATGTTMTATGATAAAAAGCTTTATGCTTCAAGTATGTAAGCAGATGGGGTAAAAAAAATTACACAGATTTTTTTCTAGAATAAGTCCTTGCGAATTACGAATTTTAAATTTCGACCAAACCGATCTACTAAAATAAATTTCATCATCATTATTGTTTCTTATAGATTCTATTTGGAAATTCTTTTGGAGGAGGTAATTAAGCAATTTTATTAATTGTATTAAACTATCCTTAATAATTGCASTTCATGCAACTCTTCTAKTTCTCACAACTGATGATTCTGAAAATTTTAATTCTCAACCTCAGAATTCCCCGAGCCCGTGTTGTTTCTACCTCTYAATAAACAATACGGYACACGAGACATCAGTAAGAGCAATCTAACTACGACGKCTGTTGGYGTTASCTTRTCTCCTGGACCAGATGGTAAACCRGAYGGGTCATACTACTTYCCMGGAAGTTCGTCCAGTTMCATTGACGTACAGAAAGATCCGAAAACAGACACAAGGTAGAAATAATGCATCTTATAACAAAAAAGTCAAATAAAAATTCTGAAATTATTAAAATTTTGCCAGATCGACTTACGTCGGATGTCGCATGACTATTCGTACGTCAATTTTGACTCCCTTACGTATAGGAAACACAATGGCGCATGACTATTCGTACGTCAATTTTGACTCCCTTACGTAGGAAAAACAAGGCGCATGACTATTCGTTCGTCAATTTTGACTCCCTTACGTATAGGAAACAGGCGAAAACGAATTTAAACCTAAGCTCCGTGATCTCTTCACCATTCGACAATTTTTCATTTTGTATTTCAACCTTTGACATATATGAAATTTTAAAGATCTTTGTTAGTTGTATTTTTCATATTCATAAGTAGCTTTAATTTGTTTTTTAATTTTTTAATTTTAATTTATTTTTTTTTAGTTTTAATTGTTTTTTGTTTTTTCGTATTTTGTTTTAATTGTTTTTGCTTTATTTTTTTTTATTTAAAAAAAGAATTTCATGGTTAATTTACCAAACTACTTATAAATATATGAAATTGTCCGTTGAAACTCAAATTGTGYTTGGTTTAGGTATTCTATTACTGTGAGTGCATGGATCTACTACCAAGGAACACCGGGTCCACTCTTGCACTACGACACGGAAGCATCTTCTTGGGCATTTAATTTCTATGTATTAGGTAAAGGCAATTCCTTCATTGAAAATGTCATGGGGAATGATCATTGAACGACTGTCAAATCAGCTCTGCAGTTTTTATACGATTTTATATGTCACCTCGGTGTTATTTCTGTGGGCGTCGGGTTCCCCCACAAAATATTTTGGCATCGCTTTTGTACGTAAAACATAAGTGTATATGCTTTGTAAAAGCTGATGCGACGTCATCACCATAAGTCTATGATTGTGCCCCCAAATCAATTTTGGCTCCSCCGCCCCTGGACTGTATATGTTATAACGTATTAATCAATTGTATCATTCTAGATGGTCCACAGTTATACATAAATTTCGTAAAAAGGGATCTTGACGCTAGTTCACCTGTCATAAGGGAAACCATTTCGCTATTAAACAGTTGGAAGTACTCTGCCTATACATACGACTACAACACAGGGATCCAAAAGCTATATGTTGACGGAGTTCTGATTAAGAGCAAGGACATTGGCAAACATGAGATAGCTACACAATTCAAGGTATGCTCTGAAAATAATAATATATTCAAGCATTTTTTATTCCAGAAGATCTCAAAAATATGAGGTCCTAAGGCTATTTGCTATTATCTCTTTYTTCCACATCGATCGAACATCGACATGTACCACATATTTTAACTGAGCCACCACCTTGACACAGTGAAGAACATTTGCCATTTTAATAGCCCCCTTGAATAAGAACCTCAAGCAGGTCCATTTAACTTTTGAGGGGGGGGGGGGGTAGGATGATTTCTTGTGATCAAGATTTTTTTCTTCTTCGCGGCTTTTGGGTAGGATATATTTTTTTTCTCTTGGTGGTTTGTAGGATTTTTTTCTTCTTGTATGTAACATTTTTTGGGGGGCTTAAGGTGGTGCAAAATTTTTTTAGGTCCATATTTTGTGCACGATTTTTATTTTTGGTGAAGATGGCTTGCAGGATTTTTTTTTCAAAATCATCCCCCCACCCCCTCAAAAGTTAAATGGACCGTCCCTAATAATGGTTTAGGGCTTAATTAAAGGATAAACCACAAGTCACTCTATATATTTGCACCGTGATATTTGAAGATTGCGTACAAATGCTGTTTTGAATATATTTTCAGTTGTTGATTTGATTATTTACTTGCTACAGTAGTTGAAAGTTACAGTTACAGTTATACA